ATTCATCGCTGAATATCATACGAGAAGAGAATCTGGGATCTCGATCTACTTTTCTCAGAAAATCTTCGCAGAACGTTCTTCTTGCATGATGATCTCCTGGTTCCAAATGTTGCACGCGTGTGTAGTGAAATGCGTGCAACTTTTCTTCTTTGAGTACTCTTTGTACAGTTCCATAGGATAGATTGTGTTTTCGAGCAACCTCCCGAATACTCGTTTCAGGATTAACCTCGAAAACACGTACAACTTGCTCCATGTCCCGCAAATCTCTCGCCTCGCGATCTCTCCCAATGTCGTGCATGTTCGGAAGGACATTGCCAGTCTCGTATAATCTTTGAGCTGCTTGAAGTATGACGGGAGCCGACGGATGTTTTGCTCGATTTGGATACAATTCGGCGTACCGTCTTGCAGCTACGTAATACTGCCCGTGACACTCGCCAAGTGCCATCAGCATGTCATAATATTCTTCGTTTGTGTATCGTACTGCCATATCGTCCTCTTAACGCTTCTAATAATCGAGGGATTATTGATTCCAGTGTCGATTGCTTCATCCTATTTATGCAATCTTCGCGGGGGTCGGTAAAGATACCCGAGGGGACTCCCCGCGACCCGCGACGAATAGCGAGTTTCGCGCGTCGCCCACGCGACTGGCATGCGATTTTACGCTTCTGATATCATCAAATCAAACAAGGATAGAAGTAGCCAGTAGACAGAAACCTAATATTTTTTAGAATTATACCTGCTGTAATAAATTATTATCCAGTTTTCTTTTCTTAGGGGTTTGTATCCTCTTTACCAATTGCCCTAAAAACATACGTCCTTCCAATTTTTTAATATCCTCAATACATGTTACTATTAAATATGGAGAATCAGCTGTAAAAATTAAAATATTAATAATACTTAGGAAAGACTTAAAGACAAACGTAGAATGTCCGATAATAAATGTAGCAATATCTGTTTTATGTAAATAGTCTTAGATTAAATAACAGAGTTTTCTACTTTTTTACAATCATTTTAGTAGTTAATAAGTTTATTATCAGACAATCTGATAATCAGACTTATTATACAATAATAATACCTGTATTTTGTACATTTTCAACAACTTTTATTTTATCTCCTTTTTTAAATTTTTTTTGTAAATATTTGTTTAAATTAAAATTTAAAATGTGTATTTCAATTTTATAATTTCCATCCGTGATAGCTCCACAACCAATTTTTTTATTAAGTTTATTATTATATTCTTCTTCTTCTGTAGCCTGTTTTCATCCACTCCTGGACATAGGTCTCTTCCATTTCCTTCCATGTCTTTTTCTCCTGTGCTGTCTGCATCCACCTCTTTTTTGCGTGGCGTTGGATGTTTCGCCATGTCGTTTGTAGTCGGCCAATGCTTCTTTTGGACTCTCTTAATCTCCATTGCATCAGGATTTTGGTCCATTTGTGTTGCTTCTCGCAACATGTCCCGCCCATTGCCACTTTTGTCTACGTGCTCGTTCAACCACGTCGGCAACTCCTGTTCTTTTCCTTATCTCTTCGTTTCGGATTTTATCCCTCAGGCTGATTTTCAGCATTACTCGCTCCATTGCCCTCTGACAGATTCTTAGTCGGTTTGCGCTGTTCGCTGTGAGAGTGATTGTTTCGAGTCCATATGTCGCAACTGGTAAGTAGCCATACTATAAGGGATTCAAAACCGGGCGCACTTGACGGCGGGTCGGGGGCAGGAAGCGGAACGCGTGGGGGCCGCCGTAAGCGGTGGGCGAGGGGATGGCGTCGGCAGACGGGGGTCGCCCCGCCGCTGCTTTTCTAACCCGGGATAGTGGGAGGCAGCGAGGGGCGCCACCACTCTCGCGCGGCGCGGCGCGAAGGAGCGGGCCACTCCGAATTTTCTCTCGCGCGACCGAGGCACCTCTCCGCGGATGGATCCCCCGTCGCGACGGCGGTGCGTCGGTAATCGATCGAAGGCCCACGGCAATCGATCGTCGTCGTCGTCGTCGTTGGAGATCTTTCGCGCCTCGACTCGCAATGCGGACTGCGGACGCTTCCGCGTCATCGATATTTTCAACCGCGCACGCATCGTGTTTATTTCTATTTTAATATTTATTAACCCTTTGTCAGACAACGTTATTTTAGATCTTCAAAACATTATTAAGAAGTACATATTCGCAAGTAATATTAATATTTCATGGATACATATATAAATGCAAGATATTAGATCGCATCGTGTTTATTTTTATTTTAATAATTACTGAAATCTACATTGTAATAATCGTACGGACAGAAACAATTTCAACGTACGCGACATTTTGTCGTCGTCGTCGGAGATCGTCTCCGTTTGCGTGATCGCGGTTATCTCTCAAAGCTATTTCCAGAGTTATCTGCTGCCCTATTGACATCCGTCGAGCGATAAGCGCAAAGCAACGCGAATTTTCTCGCGCAATTATATTGTCAGTTTGAAGTTTGCGAAGGTTTTATTTTTAATAATAATTACTGAAATCTACATTGCAATAATCGTACGGACAGAAACAATTTCAACAACGTACGCGACATTTCGTCGTCATCGTCGGAGATCGTCTCCGTTTGCGTAATCGCGGTTATCTCTCAAAGCTATTTCCATAGTTATCTGCTGCCCTATTGACCCCGTACATCCGCCGTCGAATCGTTATCGGGCGCTATATAAGCGCGGGAAGAACGCGAATTCTGACCTATTGACATTCGCTGAGCGATAAGGGCGAGACAACGCGAATCCTCGCGCAATCGTCAGTTTGAAGTTTGTGAAGGTGCGAGAACGTTGATGCTCGTAGTTCGCGCGGTACATCTGTATGGAGAAAAATAGTGCCATGGAGAGTCAAATGAAAGATAAGGAGGCTCTAATGTCGTTGTTGGATGAGCCGTTCGAGGATCAGGTCGTAGAAGTCGAACGCACCTCGACGGATATCGAGTCGGTCAGTTTCGCTTTGCTCGATCTGCTGCGCGAAATTTGGAATCCTGAATGTTCGGCGTCGCAGAATTTGAGACTGTTGCTCGCAAGCGTCTCGAAGTACCTGACGACTATGAATCAGAAGCGAACCGATTGCGACGTACGTCGTATGCGCGAGGGCAGCAACATAAAGAGCGTGCTGCCAGAGCTCCATAAATTGTGGCTGAAGGAAGGTCCTAAGAGTCCTACCTGTTCCGTGAATGAAATGTATAATTTCATTCGTGATCGACTTCCGTCAAAGTTGTATTCATCATTAGTGAGTGATCTAATGACACAAGATACCTTTTACGAATGGATCAATTATCACGACAGATACGTCACAAGTTTACCCGTCGGTGCGGGAGGGGATATCCTCGCCGCGGTTTCGACGGATCATTCGTACAGCGTGGAGAAGCGAGACGAGGAGGAGGAGGAGGCAAGATGCAGCGGCGGCGGCGGGCTCGACGCGTTATTCGACCTGACAGAGTCTGGTCGCGATCTCGATCGTATTCTGCAACATATATCGAAGATGAAAGATCGACGGATGCTTACCGTGAGGTCGCATCCCCGGGGAGATCAGATCACAGTTGATCCGTCTGGACGTCTACGACATCAAGGATATCGCGAACAAGGAGAGACGTGATTGGTAGAAATACGCGAAATTGCGATCTCAGATCCTGACCATTTTGTCGCGTACGGATCGCAAGCGACTATTAGTGCGTCAATTATTGGATCAAGCGGCGGACGATTTGAGGAAGATTCCCGGGGTTACAAAGGAGACGAGGAACGTCATACATGAAACCGGCCGGAGCAGCGTTTAAATATATTGCGAATATGTACGTCTTAATAATGTTTTTGAAAAAAGACTTATTATATTTTTTTATCAAGATGCACGTTTATTCAACTTTTTTTTTTCATTATAGAGGTACATTATACCGCGAGTAGTCAGGGGCCCTAGTGGAACCACCCACTACTCTACAAAAAAAATGTAATATGTAGAAAAAAAATACATTATCTTAATACAACACGGCTGTCTCATTTCTATAATACAATAAAAAGCGTTACAGAATGTCGAGACGCGCGCGACGTTCCGCCCACCAATTGTGTAAGCGATATCAATTTCCGAATGACCTCTCACCCGCGTCGCGATATCAAATACCGAATCTTCAGAATTAATATCTTGTATTTATATATGTATCATGAAATATTATTACTTGAAGATATTACGCTGCGTTTAAATATATATAATATATTGCGAATATGTACTTCTTAATAATGTTTTTTTTAAAGTCTATGTGTCATTGTACTGGGACGATGGTGGATATTATACAAATGCAACTTCATTATTGGCGCTAACGTCAAAGCGAAATCGTCACGTTCGCCTTGTCGTCGCTCATTTTCAGCCTTTCACGAATTGACACCTTTACCGAGACCTCCCACCCGCGTCGCAATCGCTGAAAAAAAGGAACGCATCGCTCGTTACGTCGGTCACTCGCGCTTCGATCGGGCGGTGACGCTTATCGCTTCTCGAGGGGTCAAGGGGTCGAGGTGGGAAACGTATCGTTATCTCTCGACAATGTCGCTCGCGCGCGTAATTACGTGCGCGATTATTATCGTCGTCGCGGTAAATTGTAAATTGAGTGAAAATGAGATTGCGATCAGTTTTCTGCAAAAATATGGGTATCTGGATAACAGCGGTGCACAGCGATTTTCATCGTCCTACAACACTACGCAGGAGTTACATCGAGCCGTCTCACTGTTTCAAGAATTCTATCGACTACCAGGCGACGGCGAATTAAACGAAGAGACGCTGAATCGAATGGGTAAACCGCGATGCGGCGTCGAGGACATTTCGGAGCGCACGTTTACTCCGCTTTCGGACAAATAACCGAGGAAACATCTCAAATGGAACTTTCATCTAGCCAACGACATAATCTTGAAAACGACCCGAGCCGCGTTCGATCTGTGGGCAGCGAATTCGTCACTAACGTTCGAGCGCGATTCGCTGAATCCCGATATTTTGATATCGTTTCGTAAGGGGCGTCACGCTATGCTATACTCCCGACGAAACGAACCGTGTTCGTCTGCGTTCAGAGGTCCTAACGGAGATGTCGCTCACGCGTTCTTTCCCACCGGAGACCCCAATTTCGTCTTGGAGGTGCACGTAGACAAAGCGGAGACGTGGCACATACAGCTGACTAAGAATCCCCCGGGGACATACAATTTACTTCAGACGTTGACGCACGAGATCGGTCACGCTTTAGGCTTGCCGCACACCTTCCGCGAAGATTCGGTGATGTTCGCTTTCGTGCCTGAGAAGACATTCCCCGTTCAACTTACTCTAGAGGACGTTCTTTCCATTCAACACCTGTACGGCGCTAAAGAAAACGCTAAAGTTCCAAAAGTAATAACGACGACGACACCGACGACTACCACACCGACGACGACAATAGCAACGACGACTACGAAAGACGTCGAGATGAATCTGTGCACCTTGCGAAACGTGGATACCGTATTGATAACGAACGGTCGATTGTACATCTCGCACGAACGATACATGTGGTCAATCAATATAGACGGGGAAACGTACAAGAAACCCTTGCTATTGACGGACTACATGAAATTTTTTCCTAAGAATTTCACACGTCTGACGGCCGCGTATCAGACGCCCTCGGGCAATATCATGCTGTTCGCGGGCAATATGAGTTACACGATCACTTATCCGCGTCTAACGCTAGTTTCAACTTGGCCGAGATCTTACACAGATCTCGGAATTCCCGATACCGCCAGGAAAGCCAACGCCGTGCTGAACACGAACGAAGGACGAACCTTCGTTATATACAACGATAATGTTGTGGGCGAGATAGACGATTGTTCGATGAATATCGTTAAGTACTACCACATCGACATGATATTTCCGGGAATACCTCACAGCGTATCGTCGGCCTTTCGATACATCGACGGTAATCTGTATTTTATCAGTAAAAACCGATTCTACAGATTCAACGAATTTACGAAAACCGTAACCGCATCCGGCAAATTTGATCTTGGGATCTTCGGTATTACCTGCCCGAGACGGACTGATGATGCAACTGCGAGATCTATTGAGTCGATTCGTTCGAATTGACGCGAGGGAGACGTCGAATAGAGAAGAGGAAGAATAGAACGATTCGACGTATCCCCTCCTTTACATATCACTCCTGAGAATGTTAATGAAAGGAGGGGGAATCGTAATTTATTTCTTAAAATATATTTTGCCTCAACTTTCCTCGAACGACTCATTCTCGCGTGATCCGCCAACTGCACCGCGACAACGGAGAAAAAAAAAAGAGAGAGAGAGAGATGTGTTCGACGTTACACGCCCCGTATTTCGAACAGCGCCAATCCGACGACGATCTCGAGAACGGCGTCGATAACGCGAAAAGAAGAAGAAGAGCAATCGACGGAATTAGAGACTCCGTTTTCGAATCGGGGCAACGTTGACTGCTGGAAAAACATGTGATGAGTTCGCGACGATCCCGTATCGCTTGCCTACGATATAACAATAATTTTTTTTAATTATTTTTAGTTACAGCAACGACGACGTCAGTACATCGAAACGTGACGCCGAACGTCATCCGGTGAGAATTCTGGAAAGAAGATACCTATTAACTAAGACGGGGTACAAATTCATAGACGTCGGTATCACAGCCGTACTCCCGTGTTACATACACATCGTCATAGGAGATTGTCACGGCAAGGAGATCTCACTCTCGCCTCAAACTTGGAAGGAACTTATCTATCGTAAACGCGCGGTGTTGTCCCATCTACAGCGCGGAAAGAACGAGCGCGCTCCACCACCGATGTGCTTCGAAAACGGAAAACTGAAATTTAGAATTTAGCAAGATTAACACTCTGTCGACACCTGGAAACGTCCACGACTCGTATGATCGTGTCGACGAACACCATGCTCCTCATGTTCGACCTGGAACTTTGCGTCAACAGTCTCGTGAATTCGTTGCGCGCGATTATCAACACGATCAACGCGAAGCTGACGCGCTTCGTCGCTATTGCGGCCACCGTGACGGATCCCGCGAACGTCCCAAGAGCGATACGCGAGAGCGAATTCTTCGATCGCAATGACATCGTTGACTGCACGGAGAGAAAAAATAGGGAGTAATCCCATAGATAGCGCCCATGTGATATTTAGGAGAGTAACTCTATGGGATTACTCCCTATTTTTTCTCTCCGTGTGCGAGTTAGTCGCTCTGTGCTTCGGGAATACTGAGAAATTATTGTAATCACATATTATTATTATTATTAAAAAAAATAAAGAGAGAAAAAAACCCCCCCTATGGAACCTTGTTCGATTATTTTTTTTTTCCTCCTTCTCTCCAATAGAATCACATACGGATAAAGGAAGAAGTATGACAGCGAAGGTTAAAAAATAATAAAACATATATTTTGTTTTTGAAATACACATAAGTTTACATTAAGGCGAACAAAAAAACAATATGTCCAAAATTGTTATGTCCTGCGAGGTGGTCGGGGTCGTATAACAAAACTATATGATAAACTATATGATGATTTATTATTAAGTAATCCAGCTCTGCTTACAATGCGTACCGTGCCCGCACGTTACACGGGAGCATCGGCCGTCGACTGACTCTGCCCTCGTGTTCTCACTCTGGCAATATCGCGGCATTTGGGGAAATCATTCCCGAATCACATGATTACAAAGCCAAGCTAACAATGTAGGAGCACCGTAAATACACCACAACTCCTCCCTCGTAAATTCCGACATTACTTCTTTAACCGTTCTGAACCCCGCACTACAATCGGTGGTTGTTCCTTGACTGATTTGATAACGCTTGCGGTTCTAATGTTCGCCTTCGGGTACTTAATAATTTGATCGATATGCCGCTTCCAAATTTTGGGTGCTATTTCGACTTTATACGTTACAGGAGACAATTTCTGTATTGTTTCTCCAATTTGGAATTCGACATTTCGACTACCGTTTTTCGCGATAACTTGAGCTAATTGTTTATCGGAAACATCACTGCTAACGTCCGGCTTTAACAAATCAAAACGAGTTCTCAATTCTCACTTATAAACCATATACGCTGGCGTTCTTCCTGTTGTGCAATGTTCCGACGTCCTATAATCAAATAAAAATAAGTTTACCGCATAATCTAACGATTTACCGCTCTTTACTATTTTGTCCACTTTGTCTTTAAAAGTCTCTACAAAGTTTTCTGCTGCGCTATTCATTGCCGGGTGGTGCGGCGCAGTGAAGCTGTGTTTAATGCCGTTTCTATTTACAAAGTCTTAAAACTCATTACTCGTATATTGAGTTCCGTTATCGGTAACAAGATGTCTTGGTAGACCATGCCTAACGAATATCTTCTTAAATTTGTCAATAACTTTTGGAGCTTGCGTGCATTTGTGCATATCAATTACTTTAGGCCACTTTGAGTATGCGTTTATAATTACCATGAACATGTGTCCGTGGAATGGACCTAAAAAGTCTGAATGAATTCTGCTCCAAAACTTATTGGGGTAAGGCCAAGGTGTCAAAGGTACGCTCGCAGGTGTTTTTCTTTCTCGCACACATACTGTACATGCCGCCATATTCTCGATTTCACTGTCGATGTTCGGCCACCACACATATGATCTTGCAATCATTTTTATTTTCACTATTCCGAAGTGCGATGCGTGAAGTTCTCAAAGGACACTTTCCTTGAGCTTTTCTGGAACCACAACTCTATATCCCCACAGTAGACACCTTTTATCCACTGACAACTCGTCTTGTTTCGCATACAAGTTTCTCTCCTCCTCGCTCAATTCGCCTACCTTTGGCCACCTGTCTCTTACATATCGAATGACTCTACTTAACATTTTATCGCTTTTACTCTCTTTCGCAATCTCTCCCGCGCTTAAAACTTCGCTTTCCTCTATGTAATTTATCGCAGTGAGTTCTTTATCAAAAATTAGAGTCGCGTCATCGATAGGGAGTCTTGATAGTGCGTCACAATTACTGTTATTTTCTGATTTAACGTACTTAATTGTATACGAAAACCTCGAAAGAAAATATGCCCATCGCTGCAGTCTACTAGCCACTGTAAGTGGAATTTCCTGTTTTAGGCCAAAAATATGAGTCAGAGGTTTGTTATTAGTTCGTAAAATTATCTGTTTACCGAAAATGTAATTGTAAAATTTTTTGAAACCGAATACTATCGCACTAGCTTCCTTATCGATTATTGCTCTATTTAATTCTGGTTCCGGAATTACTTTCGATGTAAATGCTATCGGTCTTTCAGTTTTGTCTTTATATCGGTGTGATAATATCGCTGCTATTCCGTATGCCGATGCATCGCATGCTAAGACTAATTCCTCGTTGGGATCAAAATGAGCTAAAACTCTCGGGGACGCTAATTCTGTTTTTACCCATTCAAAAGCAGATGCGCATTCTTCATTCCACTTGAATTTATCTTGTTTAGCACACTTATACAGAAGCTTTAATTTCTCGGCTCTATTTGGCAAGAATCTTGCATAATATGTTATTAATCCTATGAACGAGTCTAATTGCTTCTTATCTCTCGGGGTCGGCGCGTCAACCATTGCCTTGACTTTTGTTTTAGACTTGTGAAGTCCATTTTTATCGATTACGAATCCTAAAATGTCAAGTCGATCTTTGAAAAAATCACATTTATTAATGTTTACTTTGAAACCGGATTCTTCCAGTCGCGTAAATACCGTGTCAAGAGCTTGCGAGTGCTTCTCGTCATTAATACCAGTGCAAAATATGTTGTCAAGGTATGGTATCACGCCTTTGATACCCGCTAAACATTGCTCTATTTTCCGCTGAAAGTCTCCCGGCCCCGATGCAATGCCTTCTGTCATTTTTGTATACTTGTACAATCTTTTATGTGTAATTATCGTGAGATAATCTTGACTTTTCTCGTCTACCGGAATCTGCATATACGCGTGCTGTAAATCTATCTGTGAAAATTTCTCGCCGTTTTTCAATGCTAAGAAGATTTCGTCTATTAATGGCAACGGATGCCGATCCATTACTAAGCAAGAGTTTACCGTGAGCCTGAAATTTCCACAAATTCTTACTGTTCCGTCCGATTTGATTACCGGTACGATTGGAGTCGCCCAATCGTTAACGTTTACTTTCTTCAAATGACCTAACGCCTCTAGTTTATTTATCTCATTCTCAACTTTTTCTGTCAATGCGAAAGGTAAATGTCTTGCCTTAAGCGCTCTCGGTTGTGAATTCTCTCGCAATACTAATTTTAAAACACCTTTATTATATAATCCCGTTCCTGGACCAAATAACTTTGGAAACTTGCATAGAAATTCTTTAATAACGTTACTCAAATCTATTTTATGGCAACTCAACGTATCGCTTAATTCATTTAAAGGTAATGGCCACAGTGCTAATGACTGTAACCATTGCCTCCCAATTAATGTTGGTCCCGATCCCTTCATTATTATCATTTTTAACGTTGCCCTTTGCTTGCCTAACTGAATCTCTAATCCCGTCGTAATACCTGTTCAAGTGGGACTTTACCATATGCTTTTAGGGACATATTCAACGTTTCAATTCGTATACTAGGGAAATATCTCTTTTTCTTCCGAAATTATCGTTACATAAGTTCTCGTATCTATTTCCATTCTTACCTCAATTCCGTTTACAATAACATTTATGTACATCGGTTCCGCAGTCTTACGATCATTTATAATGTTTACATTACCGACTCTTATCCGATTATTACCGATGTCATCTTCTTCTTGTCAGAAAAAATCTTCTGAAGATTCTTCTCCCCTCTCAATTTCCTGGGTTGACGCTGCTTGAAGATGTTGAACCTCAGATTTCTTTGTTCTGCACATTACTGTAAGATGTCCTTTCCTGTGGCAGGCACTGCATGTCTGAAATCGCTGAAAACAATCTCTGGCCATGTGATTGTCTTTTCCGCAACAATAACAAGTGATTGTTCACTGATTCGAGTTTTGAGTGTTCGGGCTATCGTCCGTAAATTTTTTCCTCGATGAGCCTCTAGCGTACTGCTTATTACTTCATGGGAATCCTTGTGTACCCTTCTTAGGACGTTGTTGTGATTGCTGAGTCCATTGTACCGA